CAAAAAGCACCTCCCGCGCCGCCCCCCGAGCCGCACTTCTGGGCCGGAGACCCCGGGAAGGTCTCCGTCCAGCTGGCTTTCTGTTTTTCCTCGGGTGGCGCCCGTGATGTTGGGCAGCACCCGCCTCGTCTGGCAGTTTGGAAAGGGCCCACGAGGCAGGGACAGAGTTCGCCCTTTCTCTTTCTTATCCATGCCTTCGCTTCAGAGTTAGCCTTCCTTATTTACGGCTTGGCTCCTGGGCTTTAAATATTTGTCCGCTGCTTCTCGTTAGAAAAATTCCAGAGGCGTTTTTTGCAACAGCTACTGCAATCGTTCGCCACAGTTACTGCAAAATATAACCAGTGTGGTGGTGGTGATTATATTATTTATTTAATCTATGTACTACAGCTGTTTGCCCAGTGGAAAAAGAAGGGAACTAGAAACAGAAGCTTGGATGAAAAGGCACAATATTTTTGTCCTTTAAGCCTGCGTGTGTGTGAAGTTATTATCTAACCCTGATCCATAACAAGATCTGATCTTAACGGTTCATCTTCATTCATAACTGCAAGGGAACAATGCTGAATTGAAGGGGAAAATGGGTGAGCAAAGGCTTATGTATTAAAAAAAAAAAATCCATGATCAGCTTTCCATTATGTTGAAAATGCCACATTAGCTCTGACAGTATGTATTATTGAGTTATCAGTCCAACCAAGACAGATGGCCTGAGGTTTTGCAATTAATTGCTTCTTGGGTTCTAGCCATGGTTAAAAGCCACATGTGCTGGATCACAGTTCCTGTTCCCACCAGCCAACCTGGTTATGCTTGCTGGGGATAATGGGAATTACAGTCGTCTCAGTTTGGGTTGCTGAAGGTTATCTTAAAGCCGTTGCCACAATATTCTTACTCAACTGGGGTATAATATCAGAACAGACAAGCGATGGGTTTTTTTTAAAAGGCGTGGCATTTCTTTTTCTGCCACTCAAGCATTTTTCAATGGATTTCTTATCCTTTATTCTCATAGAACATTGAGGATTGTACAAAGACTGGAAAGAACCAGATTCAAGTTCTCCTTCAGCCCACGAAGTTTGTCTGGTGAGTCTGCATTAGTCACTATCTCTCAGGCAGCCTCCCTTATCTCAGAGCTGTGAAGATGACTAGGTAGATAATCATGTCCGGTCCCTTGAGCAAAATAAAATAAAAAAAAATGGGAGATGTAAATAAGCAGTATAAATGATGATGTTAGCTGCAGCTGCTGTCTGAAGTCCACACACAAGGCAGATCTTCCAAGAAGTTTGCTTCGTTGAGTTATGGCACCTACACCTAAGGGAATGGATGCTGGATAAAACCCTGAGAGAGTAAATTCCTTTGGGGGTGGCTGATTCTGAGCAAATACCCTGAAGCTTGTGTTGCCTGAACATTTTCTTCAGATGTTCTTCATCTCCTGAGACCATCGGTAGCAAGTAGAACAATAAGGAACCAAGAGTTTGTCCCTTGCGTCCCTCCATTTCCAAAAAGGTTTTCTCACTTAAATTCTGGATGCGAATCTTCTGTTAACAGCATGGGAATAGAGCCTGTTGAAATGATGGCCCCCTTGTAAAGCATTCAGGAGAGATGAACTCTTGTCTGAATTATCTTCTGCCTCATCAATCATCCCTTCAGAAGCCTGATCTGATGCTGGTGCAAGTAGCTTTCCACTCGTGTGCCCTAGGGTGTTTTTTTCCCCCAGGCCACATTGCTTTTCTTGTGGCCACATCACTCTGAGTCATAATTCCATTCTCATTTGCTCTGGTTTTGTATTTATTTCACATCGATGGTGAGCCTTGCATTTCACCACAACTAAATAAATAAATAAACTAGCATGGAATTTGAATGTAACCTATTCTTCCCAAGCTTGCATACCAACAATGTTATTTATGTGCTTCTGTCAATGAGCCCATCAACTGATCAAAGAACCTGTCAATCAATCCATTAATAGCCCAAAGCACCCACCTGATCGAAAATAGCTTTAATACAGTGTTTTTCAAACTTGGCAACTTTAAGTTGTGTGGCTGGGGAATTCTGGGAGTTGAAGTCCACACATCTTAAGGTTGCCTAGTTTGAAAAACACTGCTTTGATACAATTTTTGGTAATATTCTTTGCCATCCTGACAAGCAATTGTGGGAGGGCTGAAAGGAAATTAATGCAAGGGAAGGCTGCCCAAATCTGCAGCAAAATGTTGCAACTTGCAGGACTCTAGATTCCCATTTCCCAGCCACCCACTCAATCATGTTGTTTTCTGGAATAATTGGAGCCCCACCAATTCTCCATCTCCATTCTTTATCTACCAAGCACGCTCTCTCCTACTTTTAACCATCTCACCTTGGTTTCTCCCCTAAATTTTATGGGTGTGGAAAATGTGGGTTTTCCCTACTCTAATTTTAATTTCATTTTGACAGCCTAAGCATGCATTTGACCCCTTTCCCCTGTCAAGAAGAGAGAGCTAAAGGCAAGATAAAGACAGCATATCTCATATGATTGGTTTGGGCTTTGTGTGATGTGTGAATACAGCTATCATGCTCTGTAAAGTGTGTGGTATATTCAACTAATTGTGGTTAAATGCCTACATGCCATAGGACTTGGTTACTTGAGGGACCACTTGTCTCCCATAGTATCTGCCTGGCTGATCTGATCTTGCATGGCTGGCACACTCCAGGTTCCTTTAATTAAACAGTGTCATCTATCAGGAGCCCAGAAGCTCCCCTTCTCTCTAGCACTACCTGCCCTCTGGACTGAGATTCCCCCCAAGATCTGGATGGTGTTTCGAAAGGCCGTTAAGATGTGACTTTTCACCCAGGCATTTGGCAAGGGACGGTGAGATCCCTTGCTTTGTTCTATCCAATCTGTCATTCTTGCCATCTTTTATCTTTTACGCTTCCTTTTAATTGGTTATATTGTAATTTCTTTGTTTTGATTGTTGTGAGTCAGCAAGAGATGTTGGGAATCAAGCCAAATATTAGATAGATAGATAGATAGATAGATAGATAGATAGATAGATAGATAGATAGATAGGCAGGCAGGCAGACAGACAGACAGACAGACAGACAGACAGACATACATATATTTAATAACAATTAAGCAAAACAGGGCTTGATGTAATTTATGAACAAGATTATCAGAAAAATTTCCAGTTTATGGATTATGTCTGTGCTGAGAAAAACAAAGGGTCCTATGCCATGTAAGCATTTAACCACAATTAGTTGAATATACCACACACTTGCAATAAAGCATGATTTACAGAACATGATAGCTGTATTCACACATCACACAAAGCCCAAACCAATCATATGAGATATGCTGTCTTTATTTTCCCTTTAGTTCTCTCTTCTTGACAGGGGAAGGGGGTCAAATGCATGCTTAGGCAGCCAAAATGAAATTAAAATTAAAACCAAGGGTTTTTCTGATAATATCAAGGGCAATTTTTGTGATTTCACTTTTGTTGCTTGGAGAGCTGACTTTATCGGGAGAGTAGCTACAAAAAGCTTAGCTTAGTCTGCTAAATTGGGACTCTCGAAGTAAGAAGATAACCAATATCCAGTTTCAAGATAGTGTCACCCAGATGTGTGAAGCTTGGATGGTAGGAATTTTAGCCTAACACATCTGTAAGCAGCCAGATTGGGGGAGATGGCTGCAGTTTCTTTTGCCTCCCAGGCACAAATTCCTCCCTTCTGCCTGTCTCTGCTGGCTGCTGGATTGTTGCACCAAAAGGAATTGGAAAATTGTGTGCACTGTGACCCATTGGCCTCTCGGCCCTCTGGGCTCTGGCTTAGCAGGGCAACTTTGTTATTCTAGGATGAGGAAATGGGGTTTGGATCCAGGCAAACCCCTGGAATCAGGAACTGCTTGGACTAGAATGAAAACAGCCTTTGATTTTCTTAAAAAAAAATCAAAACATCTGCCTGGCTTGGAGTGCCACAGGTGGAACCCTGGTCTGATCTTTTTCATGGGATCCTAAATCTGGGGATCCTTTGCAGGCAAAGCCTGAGCTCTAGTGTTCAGCTATGGAGCATCTCTTCATCAGACAGCTGTTTCAGTTTACAGTACTTAATTAATGTGGACGTGTTAGCAAGTCTCTGGTGGCTTCCCCAGGCCTCCCTGCCCCACTCCCTTGCTCTGCACTGGGGCAGCCGTAGCCAACTAGCTATCTCTCACCCAGATGCTGCTCCTTCCCGACTCCTCCTTTGATCTTGGGGGCCCAAGTATCCTGGCTAAGGACTGGAGTGACGCTATTCTCTTTCTGTCTCTCTGATAAACAGCAAGTGGCTTTATCAGGCAAAACCAGTCTGTCTCCTGGTCCCAAACAAGGAACCCTTGTCTAGAAAGGATGAGGGCAAAATTGCTTTGCTTCAGGGGTCACCTTCAGAAGGTACCCTGAACCGAAGCAGCAAACTCTGATGTCTGAGCACTTGAGCAGGCTTCTCCCTTGCACCCCAGGCCTGTTCCTTGTTCTCTGCATTCTGGCTTCCCTGAACATTGGAGAAGCAGCAGCGGCCATTAGTTGTATATGTTTACAACTAATTCTGTAAATTCATATTTACAGACTGAGCACATGGAGAATGCAGATTTATCCAAAGTAAAAGCTTGGGAGCCTGTTTATATTTATTCATTTGTTATTCATTCATTCTGTCTTGCCTTCCCTCCAGGTGCTCAAGGTAG